GTGCAGATATCCAGCAGAATGTTGGTGTATAGCCCCTGGTTCTCGAGATTGAGACATCACAGCTGCGATGGTTTAGGCGCATTTTGTGAATGTTTCCAAGTAGGAAAGCGAAACAACTACTGTTTTCCTAGCTGACCGGTGAGGACCCCTAAGCTGGTAAAGAATAACCTTCGGAAAGTGTATAAAAGGACTTTGCTCCAGGCCCTAACTATCTTCTGCCGAAGCTCAAACGCTGGCACCGATCGGAGGCGTTTAAGAGATTGCTTGCCTGACGCATCTGCCTTTGCGCCCCGAAGGGACACGCGGTCATTCAAACTGACTGACTGCTGAACATTTGGTTATTGCCTGCCAACGACATGGCTATCTGCAGCATGACTTTGATGCTCAGGCGATTTTTCACAGCCTCGCGTTTCTTATCATCGTTATCAGCTGCGTAACGTTTGTGCAACACTGATTAAGTATATGGCCTGTTGAGCGAAATTACAACGCATAACACGTCGTTAAGCTGACCATATTCTGACCTGACAGTCTGCAATCCTTGTCATTGAATTTCGACAGATGGAGGTTGTAAGTTTGCAAACACGGTGTTGTAGATTGAAACAATGATTTTAGTTGGACGCTCTTCCACCAATGAGATGTATGAATATTCAAGTTAGAAAATGCCTGCTTTGTTGCAATTGGTCACGTAAGCCTGGCTCAAAATCAAAGAGAACGAGAGCCTGTCAGAGTAGACCTAGACCTTCTCTACTGCCGCCGGTGATGTCTCTTGTGACGCTGAGCGATTAAGTGTTATCGATCGGATTGTCATTGGTCATTAATGACTGGTAGCTCAACGACAGGGGACGTTGTTCGTGGAATTCGTTGCAAATGGAAACAACTTTATGCCATTGAACGTCGTTAGAAGAGAGTACCATAGCGACGTTGCACAGCAATAGAACTGAACGCTTCTTTTCAGAGCCACCTCCGATGAAAGTACATTATTTTAGCCTCTGTGCATGTCCTGTGTAACGAATCCCGTGAATGGTTAATCAGGTTTATTTGCTTGGCCAACGGCCATTGCTAGTGGTTGGTAGACCAACGGTTCATCACAGTCTAATAAACACTGTACTGGAAAATATTTTATGCCAAATATCGTCCCCATGTTGTAAGAGTTTCATGCCAATGAAAACGCTTTTAGCTTGTAACCTTAAGTCAACTTATTTTGATTGAACTCATTTGTATTTTGCCAATATTTTTAACGATAAACGATGACAGAATCGAAATTTTTTGTGTTATGCCTTAGAAGGGTTAGAAAATCGTTTGTTGTATTAGGTTGGCGTAGTTGAAGGATATTGGTCTTTTAACTGCTGATACTGGATTTACACGATGAAGGCTGCGAAGTTACTTATTACCCTGGATCCGTAGCTACCGGGGAACATCAGGATTATGTTTTGTTTTCTGCGTATTTGCATATAGATAGTGGCAAATATGTTGCTGCTCGAATATGGTGTTGCTCGGTCCACTCAGTGATGCATCCACTCGGTTTTGCTTCCTATGCACTGCAAGCTCTTAAATAGTATGGAACCGTGGCCTGCTTAAATGGTCCTCTTAGGCGACTACAAGCAAGGGTTCGGTGCAACATTGTGGTACAACTCACTGTAATGACTTTTATCAGCCTTACACTATCGCAATATCGTTGTAAATTAAGTGTCTTTACAGCTTTTTCCCTATATATCCGGTGCCAGTATCTAGAAGAAAATGTTGTCCAGCGGAATTGAAAGGTTTCCATTCTTCGTAGCTGCTCCCGAACACGGTTTATATTCTGTTTTCTTTAAACATTGTTAATAGCAGAAAACTAACTATTATCCAAAAACCAGTAAAAGATTGGCTCTTAAGCACAAAGTAACGTGATTGCATTAATCGTGAAAATCCGCCGCATCAGGCACATCAAGGTAATCCATAACCCCTAAAGAGAAAAAATAACAACCAGTTTTTTGGCGCCTAATGAAAGCATACGGAAGCTGTCCGTCCAATCACATTTGCATTGGCTGTATTCAAGAACTCTATATTGCTGGCATATCTGTCAGGAAATAAAACAAGCAGACCGTTTAGAACGTTGATAATACCTGATTCACAATGTTGTAGGTGTAGGTTATTTTTGCCTTATTCCTTGGTCAGGGGTGTCAGTTTCTTCTGGGATGAGCATATAAAGCAATTGAACTAAAGTTCTAAGCCTGAAGCTGCAGATGTAATCAAAATCACTCACCCCCCATTTATACAGTTTCATCTACATTATGTTATTTTTGTTGCCTGGCAATGCGCTAGCGCTCCATTTCTCGTGATGATTTTTTTTTTAGTTTTGCATTCGCATTTAAATGAACTTGCATGCGTTTTGAAGCTGAATGCAAGTAAATGCGGACCTCCTTGGTAATAATTGTTTTGCATTCAATTGGTTCGATAGACCATCACTGAAAAACTTCGAACCCGGGTACAAGCTGTTGAAATGGGCTTTCTTAGACGAGTCGTTGGCCTTACGTGTCTCGACGTGGTCCGGAATAGTGACATCCGGAAGAG